CTACACATGTGCATCACTTACCGTGCAGTAAATTAGGGTACTATGCAGTTAGCTACTACCTATAAATATGAGTATTAAACTAACTGCGTAGTAGATACTGTGCAGTAGCACATCTGTAGATGTTGACCGGAACAGATTTGCTCCCAGTCAGCCCTAATACCAGTGGGCCACAGGGGATGGGGAACTGGCCCAGTCCTGGTATTGCTCAGCTCTCCATTGCTCCCAGAAGCGGGGAGCTGAGCAGTGCCGAGACTGGGGAGCTTTGTGCTTCCCTGCCCAGCTGGAGGCTGGTGAGGAGCTATCCTGCTTCTGGAGCAGCTCCCAGCTAGCCCCTGCCTGGGCAGAGAAATCCCCCAGCAGCCAGGGATCCCCCAGCTGGCCAAGACCTGTCCTACTTCTGGGGCAGCTCTCACCCAGCCCTCAGCCGGGTGGGGAAATACCTAAATATGGCATTGCAGTTCTTATATGGCTGGACCCAATTTCTGATTATATGTGTCCTCTGTACACTGAAAACATAACAAATTCAGAATGCTGCGTACTTTCCAGAGAGTAATCAGTGTATCCAGTATCTACAAAATTCAGGTAACCATTCTCCACAATAACCTAAAACTTATCATGTAAAAGCAGCTTATAAGATTATTCAGATCAGGTTTGTTATGAGATGAACTAGCTGCGGCTCAACATTTTAGCAAAGCGTTTTTGTAAGGATGTGCTAATTTTTTATTTGCTTTTCCATTTTTTCATAGAAGTACAATAACAACAATCTGACTTCCAGGGGCAGATCTAGGATTTTGAGAAGGGGGATGTAGATGATGTGGTGTATCATCACATATAACACAACATATATTTTTCTCCAGATAAAAAGAAACTAGAAGCCTTACTAATATGCTAAGGGCCTAAAGCTATACTATTCCATTAAGATCAAACCAAAAACAAATATAACTTTATTGACATGTGCATGAATTTGCTATATCATACATTTTATATTAAAAAACAGAACAAACAAGGTAAACATAATTTTAAAATATTGTTTCTTTACGTCTGTAATCATTAGGGCCAAGGACAAAAGTTATACTTACTGTATGGCAAGCACATACCAAACGTTCTACAGCCATAATTGAACAGATGGTCAAGGCACATAGAGCACTGTAAAATTGGTGGATCCCTCTCTAAGATAATCCTGGATGGATGTGGTACAACAGGTAAAATAATAACTTAGTGAGGAGCAGCACAATAGCACCAGCAGCCTCTCAGGCAGCCAAACTGTGACAGAGCCTTTCTTTCCTCTCCTGCAGGAGCTTCTTCTCCAGAATGTGTGTTAAGGCGCGCCCTCCCTGTGTCCTTCCCCTCCCCGCATCTTCCCCCTCCCTCTCCTTACTTTCTGTTTCCCTGCAGCCAAGCCCAACTTCAAAATTCAAAATGTTTTGAAACTTTTAAACGTTTCGACTGCCATCATTTTGTTTTGAGGCTGTTTCAAAGCCCTTTGTTTCATTTCGATTTCGCTGTTTCGAGCTCGAAACAAGTCAAAACAGCGTCAAAACGAAACAGCCAGCAAAATTTCACACAGTCCTAATAAGAAGCTCCAACCACCTATAAAGTTAGACTTCAAAAATGCAAAATAACTTTATAGCTGGTTGCTATCAAGCTATAATTTGCATATGTAGCAGGATCTCCCCTGTGGCTGGGAGCCCCATTACTTGATGGGGCTCCCAGCCACAGAAGTTCACCATGCCAAGCTTAAAACCCCCAGGCCCTGGAGATTGAGGTAGATCACCCTGTAGTGCTCCTCTGGTCTTAGGGGTTTTCCCCACCCACAGGGCAGGGGGAATCACCCTGCAGTGAACCTCTATAATAAAGTGCGATGAGATCTAATGCATGATCCCACAGTTGCACCTCCTGTCATTCACACGTGGAGGGGACCATGGATTGGTAATATTGTAATAATATAAATAATAAAACAGGCCTTCCAATTGCTGCTGCTATTTGTGTTGGATATTTTGTGATATCCCTTGTCACTTCAGCTAAGAGTTTAAAGTCAGTGGTGCTCAGCCTTTTGGTACCACAGTCCAAATAAGTGGCATGGGGCTGATCCACCCACGCCTACATGCCAGGATCAGGTCCTGCTATGCCCTGGACTCATGCTATTGGATTGGGCCCTACATACCTCCACTCCACCTGGTGGCCAGATTAGGCCCTGCACCACCTTGGCTGACCCTTTCATGCCCAAATTGGGCCCCATGCTTCCTTTGCCATGCCCAAATCAGCCCTACGCAGCTCCAGCCCAACATGTGCAGATCGAACATGTACAGCTCCTGCCCCATGTGCCTGGTTCCGCTCCGCACAGCACTGGATCTGCATGCCCAAATCAGGCCTGCATAGCCCATGCCCATATGTCTAGATCAGCCCCATGCCACCTCTGCTTGGCCCTGCATGCCTGATCTAGCATGTAGGGCCATGTTCTCCACTCCATGGGGCTCCCAACAGGTCCAGAAATCTGGAATCAATTAATGGATATCCAGGGGTCAGAAAAACCCGCCGAAAAAAAAAGCAGCGCGGTGCATGCAGGGGCAGCCCACTCCACTCAAAACCGGGGCCTGGCTGGCCAGAGCCACACTCTGCTGCCAGCCAGGCTCTGCACGGCAGGATCGCCACTGTTGCAGCCCCAGGAGGCCCCCAGGATGCCAGGTAAGGCTGCCAGGACCAGCCCAGTGCTGGCCCCAGCCTCCCCTGACCCACCCAGGGCAATTTGCCACATGCCAGAGTGCACATGGCATGGGCATTCCCCAGAGACAACTAGCGGAATCACAAGGTGTGCCAATGCTAGTTGTCCCTGGGGAACCAAACGTCCATGCATGTCTAAATGTGGCCAGAGATTTCAGATAGGAATCCATAACTTCAGAGATGTTCTGACCTATTGTATTTCTGAATTCTTTGCAACAGAAGAATTGCTTTATCATTTTTCTACTCTAAAAATGGTCTTGAACCAGCATTAATCCCATACTTTTTTTTTCTCAAAATGGCTGTTACAATGCAACATAAAGGTAAGGCCATTCGAATGGGGTCATGGTATAGAGACAAGCAGCAGGTATTAGAGTTGGCATTGAGATATATCCATAACAGAGGCAATGTTGGAAGCAGAGCATAGACAAGCAGAGGGGTGGCACTCCCTACAGGCCGAAGAACAGCAAGGGGTGGAGAGTTGTGTCATTTTTCACTCTTAACTGTTTTTGATTTTTATTGTTTTTATGAATATTTCATATATTTCGGTTAGCAGTTTTGATAAATTAGCTGTTAATGGGCTGCAGGGAAATAAAGAATAGGCTGTACAACCCTGAGCTTTCTGCCATGTGTCATTTGTGGCCACCACAAATCCAGTCCTTAAAGTACCCTGGATTGCCATTAACCCTGCTTATTGCTATCCAGTTCGCTTTCTGAGACTTTTTTTCATTGCCTTTGCTCCCACATTGATTGTTGTCTTGGACATTCATTTTCTATACTGTCCTTTAAAGATTCTGGGTATTTCCTAACCTGGGGCGTGTTTCTAGTCCTCTGATCTCATTTTCCTAATCACTGGTAACCTGCTCAGCAGGATATATTCCTTTGTTTCCTCCCTAACATGACACAGGATACATTCCAATTTGAAAGTGTCTTTCTTCTCATACTATGGTACTAAATCACACTCCTGGGGTTTGCTTGCAGCTTTCATACAGGATTTATGAAGTATCTGCCACCAAAATCCTCACATTTAAGCATGACAACTTAGTACTGCCAACATAAATGTGTTTTATGTTCTCTGTCCAAAATATCTGTCTTAATTATTAAATGTCAACGAGTTCTGGAGTTCCTTTTTTGTGAACAGAGGTCTGGTATCCCATGGACAAACCAAAATATCATATATAGAGCTAAAAATACAGACATGAAGGTCAGAATTACTGTATGTGTATGGGGTATGCATACTATATTCAAAATGGTATAAATATATTAATATACACAATCATATTTGTATACATGTATACATGTGTGCTGTGTATATATTATATTATATTATATTATATTATATTATATTATATTATAACTGTATTTGGATATGAATATGCACAGATATTTTTTGTACGTTAATATAATTAATGGTACTATCTATTATATGCTGTCCATGCAGAAAGGTACATAGGCCTACATAAAAAATACTGTATTTCCTTGCATACAATACACCCCAGAATGTAATAAGTACCCTGTTTTTAGAAGACAGAACGAAGAAAAAGAAGATTTTTTTCCAGAGTTATGGCTGCATAGAACAGGGGTACATCCTAATATTCAGCTGACTCACCCTCCCTTTCCTGCTTAGCTAAAGCAGAACCTTGCTGTTGCAAAAGACAGGTCTGCATGGGTAGATCTGTGATTTTGAAAAGAAGTAAAGAATCTCCAGAGCTGTGAAATACAAGGAGAGAGATCATGAGCAGCTAGCAGACAGCAAAACTGCCAGAAAAGGTTAGCATGATTAGTGAAACATTAAGACCATTAAAAAGGAGAGGTGCTATGAAGTTTCTGTCTCTGTAGTGAAAAGGCTGAGCCATTAAGTCGGTTGACTTCCTCAGCTGCCTTAATAGCAGTGCCACAATTGCTGCACTGTGGAGGAGAAATCAACGCAGGGTGCTTCTATCCTGAACAAAAACTGAGCTTCCCTACTTAATACACACAACCCAATGTTGAGGGCCAGATTTGGGGGGAAAAGGTGTGTGCTGTATATGAGAAAATACAGTATAAATACAGATATCTATCTATAAGCAAGTACTTATAATGCTCTATTCCGTGCTTTCCTCTGAAACATGGGTCAATATTGCCTGCCACTACTGGTTTAAAAAAAAATTAGTTCATTATAATTACAAAAAGTAGACCTGAAGAATTTACCTAATTTGGTTTAGTAAATGAACATGTGAAAGTGCTTATCTGGGATAAACCTAGGCACTATACATATATTTTCTTTTCCTTTGTTTTAACAGAATGAAAGTGCCCTTGTGAAAGAAAAGGAGCTGTCAATTGAGCTTGCAAACATCAGGGATGAAGTGGGTAAGTAGGGCATCCAACCCAAGCAGTTTAAAAACGTACTTTATCAGTGCATATAAATGTGTAATAAAAGCAGTTACCCCTAGCAATATGAAACTAGGGAACCTGCATAGATGTAATAAAGCAGAATGAAAAGTGCCCTGTAGTGGGTTTCTGTGGCCTTGCAGGGATTAATAATTTTACCTTTCTGTTGTTGTGGAGACAGGTCCATAACCATACCCAGTGGAGCTAATCATGCATTATCTTTGCTATACGCAGACAGTGATCCATAAATCTGTATCATCTGTTCTCAAATAGAGTCTCTACTTGCCACCCCCTGCTGAGGAGGAGGCTCAGGTCATGCATACTTTGATGAAAAGTGGGAAGTCAGCAGATGCTGCAGTGTACCATGAGCTTGGAATTCCTCACTTTGTTTTTCTAAGTGTATGTGTACTGCAGCCCAGTCACAAAGTAGAAAACACCAAGGTCAAAAACCAGTCACTGTTTTGTAAAAAAGATCACTTAGTAAAATATTCAAAATATCTCCATAAGCTCTCCATCCTTGAGAGTTAAATCCGCTTCTTCTACTCAATCCATTTGTTCTGTAAACATGCTGAGCATGTGTTCATTTCTCTTTCTATTTGGAAAGCTTATAGGAAAGGTAGTGACCATAAAGACATTCCTTAGATAGAGAGAAGCAAGCCCTACTCAAGACCCAAGTTCAAGACTGAATTCCTTGGATCTGAATCTTCCCAGAACTGATTTGACTAACAACACAAAGCCAGAAACACTGAGCAGGGCAGAAGTACAGGAATACCTGGTCATCTGGCAATGAACCCACATCATTCCTGGCTAATAGAAAGATGAAGGCCAAGTAGGGAGGTAGGCAACTGGGAGAAGGCAGCCAAGAGCCTTATACATTAGTTGCAATTTATGTTAATACTCCATTTTAAAGGGTTTCTAAAGGGTTAATAAATTATCATCAGGAACCAGATCCAAAAAAGGGATGTAGGTACATGCTTTCCCTGGCCTAGCTTTTAGGCATCTTGCCCGCCCAAAAGGGAATAAAATGCACACATGGATTAGACATCTCTGTTCTATCTACTTTAAAATAGGAGTGAAGGGCACTTCAGCTTGGGGGCCACAGTATTCAGCAGGCTAAGCAGGGGGAGAATTGATTCAAACAGTAGGAAACACTGAAGTGTGGGTCTGAAATCCCACTTCTCCCCCAGGCTCAGGCACCTATCTCAGGGCTGCAGTAGCTGCCCAGGTGAGACAGATTTGCAGCACTGAAACCTCTGCCTAGGGCAGTAATTCTCAACCAGGGTGCCACGGCATCCTGGGGTGCCTTGAGATCCTTTCTAGCATATCATGAGATGTTAGCACTGCTAGATGTGCAAACACGATTCACAAGGTAAACCGTGAGATAGGAAATCATAGTGTTTAAAATATGTTTCCTTGCTGTGGTCTTTCTGGGTTCTCTGCAGCAGAAGCGTTGCTCTATTATTTTTCTGTAGTCAAAACATGAGTGAAAATTAAGAGCTGGCATTTTCTGAGGAACACTTTGAGTCTAAGGGATGCCTTCAGTATACAGAGATTGAGAGCCACCAGCCTAGAGCTAGGAGCCAAGGTCAAATCTTTGGGTTCAGGCAGCTGGCTGGTACCTATCCTATCTTGGTGACCGAGAGCTCTCATCCTGGAAGTGGGAGATCTGGATTCTAGGCCCTCCTCAGCTTGAAAGGATCTAAGTCTAGCTCTCTGATCTGCAAAGCACTGGGTGAGATAAAGCAGCCTCCACTCCTCTTACTGAACCACAGTTGCTGCGCAGAATTAAATTTAAGATTCTTGGGGACAGAGAGAAGACATCCAAGAGACAGCCTGATTCTGTTGCTCTGTGAGGAGGAGACTTCAACTTTTTGCCCTGGTTCCTAGAACTGCTTATGCATTTTACATTAAGGAGTCACTGAACAAGCCATATAAATGGCACTGGGGGATAGCTACACTCCCACCAGGAAACTTAAGAGTTTGCCTATAGTACTTGGCACTGGGTCTCAGGGAAGGCAGGACTAAGCACACCCAGCCCATGCTCCAACCACATAGATCTGATGGTTGTCTGCACAGCTGGACGTTGACCAGTGAGCTTTCTCAAGATTCATTCCTGGTGGCAGTTCTTGAACCTTTGGTCTCCAGCAGGTCTCAGAGTGGCTGCAGGAGACAAGTCCAGAGGAGCCTCGGGTGAATGTCCAGCTCTGGAGAAGGTCAGCAGGCTCCAGAGAGCAGGGTGTGCCTAGTCCTATCCTCCACCAGCCTCACCACCAACCTAGTATAGGCTCTCACAGCAGGACAGTGGTGGTTTAACTCAACCTTAAGCACTTATTTTCCAGCTGAAGTACACCTTAACCACCTAACTCCTTTTTTGCATCCACCTATAGGTGTTTAATAAGCAGTTAATCAATTTTTCCAGATGGATTTCAACAGGTTAATGGGTTATACACAATGGTGGCTTACAACTATGTATAACGCAACAGTTTATAGCATATAATATAGCCTATGATAGCTCACACCTCTCTGAACCAGCTAGTCTCTGAGGTGCCACTTTCCCCTGGATTTTGCCTGACTTAAGACTAACATAGCTAACTACCTCTCACCTCTTAGGATATAATAGTCATTTATTAATCCTCTACAAGTGGGAAGTGTGACTATTAGCTTGATCAAGTGTCTCCCATCACATGTCCCACAGGTGGGTAAGTGCTGGAGACTTCCACTTGGTGTAGAGCACTATGCTTCATAGCTTAACCTTACCAGTATGTTCCACCCACCCTCATGCTTTCATATAAACCCAGCAACTTATGCTCCCTGCTGTGCCCTTCAAGGGGCTTGCATTACCAAAGCCTGTAGACATATGAAATTTCAGACTGATGCTACCTCACTGCTCCATTCCCATGAACACCACAGCAGGGACTAAGACAACATGTACTCTATCACTTTTATCTCTGTTTTTTTTCCATCTATGCTTTATGTGTCCCCCCCCGGCCCAGCCTCTCAATGGAATTGCTATACCAGGTTTGTTTTCCAGGCAGGGCACATCTGAAAAGTTCTGTTTTCAAAACCTGTCTTCTCTTTTAAAGTTCTGTGTACTGCTAAGAGTCTGGCTTTGCACCTGCCTGTCTTCAGAGAGTGCACAGCAGGGTTTACCAGGTTGTTATGCATTAGAGATGCATAAGCTTTTGTCTGTATGGTGCACCTCTAATTTCACCTTCTGCCTAAAGCAACAAGAGACATCTGAAATGGTCTGTGTTCCTAGACTCACTTATTGTAGCAAACTTAAGACAAAAAGTCTCAGCTGTCTGCTCTCTGTCCAGAGTAAAACTTTCAAGAACATTTATCAATCATCAGGTTTCTCCACCAAAGATAGGGAGGTATCTCTGAGACAACCCAGGCTTTTCCACTGGACAGGGTGGGACCTCTAGGAGGAAGAGTGAATGAGCCACCAGTTCTTTAAGATGGTATAATAGAGGGAGATTGAGAGTCTGCTGTGGGGCTGTGCAGTTGGCCTCTCATAGCCAAGTCATCTGGGAACAGTCTGTCATATAAGTCACAGCTGAGGTGTGGATTCAGGCCTCTAGAGCACAGGATGCCTTAATTGCTCTGCTGCTGCACCCCTCAAACTTTAAAGGAAGACTGTTAAAGGAAAAGGATGCTGGGAAAGAGTAAAATTATGAGACTGTTTTTATACACTTCCTTAAAAACATTGATGTGTTTATGACTCCTCACCACTGACTGTAGTTCTAAGACTAACATTCAGTGCATGGCCAAATTGTCAGCCATGGCATGGTAACTCTGGAGGGCATTGCGAAGGGCTAGGGACACAAGTTACACATAAACTGGTTTAAATGATCAGAAACTGGTTTAAACCCGTAACAGAACAGAAGTTCATTGTGCATAAACTAGTTTCCAAATGGCTGAAACTGGTTTAAGATACACCTGGTTGAATGTAGTATATCAGACTTAACTGATTTAGGTCAAACCAGTTTATGAAACTTCTGTCCCAGACCCCTTCCTGGTTCAAGTTAAATCAGAGTCCTCCAGCATCCCAGCATGCTTTGCAGACCTGGGTTGTACTGTCTGCTCCAGAGAGCAGAGCTGGCCCTGCCCTTCTGCTCCCTAGCTGGAGCAGTGAGGGCTGACTCACTGGCTTCCCCAGGCAAACCCTGGCTGGGGTCAGGGGAAGGGAGGTGGGGTTAAACTCCCCTTCCCCCAAGTTCAGAGCTGCACTTCTGTGCTTACTTACTGCTGGCTGTGACTGTGGACTACAAATCCCAGAGGAACCTGGAAGCAGGAAGACGAAGTGATAAGCAACCCTGCAGAGTCCTGATGCTGTGCTTGTGAACTGCAAATCCCAGAGACCTCAGGGGCAGCATGAAGAGGAAGAAAACACACAACCCATGCTGGCTATGTGCCAGAGAGCTTTAGCGCCCCCTGACTTCTGGCTTGAGCCACTGCAGGCATGTGGCTACATTTCCTGAATCAAAAGGAAATGTCTGTTCATTTTTTTATTGATACAATTTTTTGCAGCTTAATCTAACCTGCAAAGACTGAATCATTTCAGCTAGGGCTTTTTGGCTGTCTATACTTAGCCAAGGTGACACTAGTTCAGAGCCTCTATAAATAAAAGCTCGCTGAGCTCCCCTCTAATCTGATCTGGATGCTAAAGGTCCAAAGGGACCTACAGACCATCCAGTAATCAAAAGGACATGAGAGCGCCCTGGCATCACCTCCTTTTGCTAGGCCATACCTCTTCCACAGGCCAGTTCCACAAGTGTGCAGGTTACAGTGCAGCAGCTTCAGTGCATGGAAAAGCATTTTCTGTTTAAAAAGCTGAGCAGCATTTGCTTTTCCTACAACCCAAAATAGTGAGCTCTCCTTGTCCTTGGCAACATGGTGGGTGCGTCTATGTGTTCATTAATGCACAGTGGTTATTGCACATTTATTTAGTACTTGTATAATCAAGTACTAAATAAATG